CTTTCTTTCTTTCTTTCTTTCTTTCTTTCTTTCTTTCTTTCTTTCTTCCTCTCTCTCTCTCTCCCACAGCGCCCAGCCACAAAGTTGACAGAGTTCAGGGCCGCGGCCAAGACGAGGACAAGAGGAGGACAAGAGCCTGGACACAGAGCCCAGGCACACAGCCCAGCCACAGAGTTGACAGAGTTCAGGGCGCGGCCAAGAGGAGGACAAGAGGAGGACAAGGCCTGGACACAGAGTTCAGCCACAGAGCCCAGCCACAGAGTTGGCAGAGTTCAAGAGGAGGACAAGAGGAGGACAAGGCCTGGACACAGAGCCCAGCCACAGAGTTGACAGAGTTCAGGGGCGCGGCCAGGACGAGGACAAGAGGAGGACAAGGCCTATAAGGCCTGGACACAGAGCCAGCCACAGAGTTGACAGAGTTCAGGGGCGCGGCCAAGACAAGGCCTGGACACAGAGCCCAGCCACAGAGTTCAGGGGCGCGGCCGGCCAGCTCTTTTCTTTCTAAGATAGAACCCCAACAGTAAACTTTTTGGTGAAAAAAACAATCAAAAAGACATACTTGTGAGATCAGCTGTGGATTCAGGAAATGGATGACCTCCTTCCTCACGTAGTGATTTTCCCTCACTTCTTCTTGTAGTTGCTGTTGGAAGGATTTGAGCAAATCCAGAATCTTCTCCTTCGTTTTGGCACGCTCTCTGCGTTGCGGTCGAATGTTCCCGGCCAGATTCTTATTGCTATGCTGCAGGTGACAAAAGTCACAGCGTGAGGCCAACTTGCAGCCCCAGGTCGAGGCAAAGAACACACAGGGCTGGCAGGTGCCGTTCTCGTGATCTTGGGTGATCAAAGATCGCTGCACATCGTTAGCTTCAGACCCTGAGCTCTGCCCGCTGTCGAGCTCTTCGCTGCTGTCCAACCAGGGGGAGGAGGCATGAATTTTCTTCACCTCGAAGCATGATGAGCCGAAGAACCAACGAAGAAGGGAGAAGAATGGAACGAACCAGATGAAGGGAGCTTTGCGTTTCGGAGAAGCTGTGCATGTGGATACATGATTCTCCACATCTCTCCACATTGGAATCAATCAAAAAACTTGCAGAGCACCATATTGAGTTCCTGTAATTAATCCATGTGCCCATACCAAACCACCCTTTTCCCTGGTCTCGGCCCAACCCCCACTCCGGCGTTCGCCCTTCTTGCCCCCGTCAAGACCTCACTGTTAAACCAGCATCATTTGTGCACCAGACCTCTTCACATGATCATACATGACCCATGTGTCCGGTACCATCAAATCTTCAAAGACTTTTTTAAAAAATATCAAACCATTCTGTCGTTCAAAGAAAAGCAAAAACGATGCAAAATCGCTCCCCTGATTCTTTTCGAAAGCTGAAAACCACGTGACCCACTTGGCTCCGCTGGACGACGAAGATCCTGACTCAGTCCGCCCTGCCACCGCCATGGCCCAGCGACAACACCGTTCAGCACCGTGACCGTCAGCACCGTAAGGCCGCCGCGGTCAGTCCGGCCGCGCAGCCGGGTGTAGCAGCTGGAAGTGCAGAAAAATTGAGAAGCAACCAAACCCAAAAGCCGAAAGACCCGAAGAATTGGAGCAATACGACACACTTGCAATGCAGAAGTGTGCTGGAGAGTGAAAGGAAAGAATGGCAAATGTGAGGTGATATGACTCGCTTGCTCTTGTTCAACTCAGTGCAAGCATGAATGTTTCAATGTGAACAGAACCAAATCAGCTAAGTCAGCGCAAAGAGGCCGTTTTTGCGTATACCGGGTACGGACGGCCCCGTGACGCTGAGGCGTCAGGTCATCCCGGTCAGACACCGAGGCTCGGCCCTTAAAGCTAGACACCTGGGATCTTAGACTCCATCCTAGTAGCAATGGCAATGGCCTCCAACCGATATACAAGCGATGGGCTCCACCCTAGTAGCTTCTTGCCACTAGTTACTAGCAGTAATGGCTAGAAGCGATGGCCTCCAACCTACTAGCGATGGGCTCCACCCTATGGAATCTAGTACTTAGTACCTCAGCATCCAACTCCGTTTTATCGAGAAGAGAACAGCGAGAAAACATGACCAAGCCTTGGATGTCCAGCCCATCCATCTGCCCAATCACGGCATCAAAAGAAGATACATAGGCTTCATTAATCTTTCGAGACGGCCCTCAACAAGCATCATGAAAGGTCATAATGTTGGTTGGTCTCTTCCTTTGTGCACTGGAGAGGTTCCAACACCGCGGTGGTGATCTTCCAGATTCCAAGAAGCGCCATGAACACCCCCCGCTTCTTCCTGGTCCGGTCCAATCCCTCCAAACTAACTGGCTCGGTGCGTGTTGGATGGTGGCTGATGCCCAAAAGCGTCTCAGCCCTGAAAGCCGCTTCTGGGCCCCCAAGTGATGAGGACCCTTAGTAAAAAATCTCTTCATCCCATTGATTCACCCTCTTCACAACAAGGTCCTTTGGACAACTCCTTTTCTTTGGCTCCCACAACCACCGCACGTTCGCATCACCCAGTTCGGCCCGTCAAGCGCCGCGGCCGCCCCACCTTCGAGAGCATCGCCTGGATCTTGGAGGCGAAGTCGTCGATGGCGTTGGACGACTCTGAAGACTGGTCGAAGCACTTGTGCCTCGAACCGCGGCAGTGGGCTGTTTAGTGGACGCTTAAACAGAACAACGGTGGGCGGACGTGTAGTGGTCCTTTCATAAGCTTGAGGTGGCAAATCACCCACAGAAGAAGTGTGTTGTCTTGGTCCCGGTCCCATGGGATGAAACAGCACCAGTGATGCTCGGTGATGGGGCATCCAAGAAGTGAAATTTGAGAAAACTTGTCACCCTGGGCATTTACAGGAGATTTGACAGGTTGATCTTGGGCGTCTTAGGCAAACTGAGACCCTTTATATAAGTAAATGCCCACAGACCTTTTAGACCTTTTTCTGGTCACTTTCCATGAGTCAGGGTGCTGGGCGTTTCCTTTAGTTCCTCACGATGCTTTCTTTTGGAACCTTGGTTACAGATTGGAGCTTCCTCGGCCATCGGCCGGATCGGGTGGTAGGTACCATTGTTTTGCGGCCAGCGGTGGTGCCACTGTTTCATTTGATGTTTCTGTCCATTCGGACCGGTTTCTTGCAACATCGGTCTGCCAAGACACTGAAGCTCCTTAGCCCGGGTGGAGGAATTGGAGCCTCGAATTCAACAAGCACAAAGCGATGGCTATGATCAACAAAATCTCAAGAGAAGAGGTAGGGACTTATCTTGGAAGAGGAGAAGGAAAATGCTGGAACATCACTGGAAGGTTTTTTCCCTGACTCACTTGCATTTTAGCCGTCACCCATCTGCGCTGGTGGAGGCCTTGTGGCAGGAAAATGAACACTGAAGAGTGGCTGTGGTACATTGGCTCAACAAGAATGCGTTTCTCCTTACTAGCCATCTTGCTGCATCCCATTCTGACAATCCCAGACCCTGCAAGGCGTTTGCTTCTTCCATCAAATTCCTTGCCGTGTCGCTCAAAAACTGCGCGAACTCGAGGGTCTCCGGGGCCGCATACTCACCTGGCAGCTCCAAAACATCTCCAGAAGCACCTTCATACCTGCTAGTCGCATCCACAGATCTGCTGAATCAAAAGGACGTTGGTGCAACACCCCACTGTTTGGGGAATCGGAGTCTTTACACAGCTTGAGAGGATCAACTTAGGATCAACTTTGTTTGATGCACCAAATCGAACGCAAGATTCCCAAAGTGAACATGTTCACAAAACTACCAGACTGTGCAGAGAGTAAGCACATGGAACAGAGATCAACAGAGAGGGATTGAAGTGATTTATTTCCATTCTCAAAGCCAATCAAAGTCAAAGTCCCATCATTGAGCCACCGTCTTGATCTCAGAATGTGCGCATTGCCAGAGACAACAGTTTCTCAGAAGTACCCAGGGTTCTTTCCCACCCGATCCAGCCTCCTCCGCTAACATTGGTCTCCTCAAAAACACCAAAAAAGAAAGCAGGATCAACTCCCGAGACGAACTCCGGCAATCCAAGCTGGCTTCAGCAGTGGGGTGTCCAGCAGCCAGATTGCAGCCATGGTGTGTGAAATACGCCACCCAAATCGTTCTTGTTGTCCCCTTAAAAGTCCGGGTCTCTATCTACACAAAAACAATTATGGGGATGTATATACATATATATTGTTTTTATTGCGAATAATTCAAAAGGGGCTGCGCAGTGGTCATCTGTACAAGCTGTGCTATATATATCACTGGCTACGGTCTGCATTGAAACTTGTTCACACTCCTTCTTGGTAGTGTGAGCGCTCGAACTGCTATTCTAGTTCACTCTGCCACCATAAATTTCTTTGCTCACATGTGTATTCTGTTGGCCTCTGCATCCTCTCAAGAACGTGGTTCCTAGAGGTATCTGATAGCATCCTCTCTGGGTGGTCTCTCTTCATCTCTGCTAGTTCAAGCCATCTTTCATATCGATCTATCTCATAATTCATTGCCTCTGCACTGTTCTGTTCTCCTCTTCCTAGCAGAATGCCTTGTCTCTCTTTCAATTTCTCAATCTTCTCCAAAAGTCGACAACACATCAGTAATGTGGCCCTCAGATTTATAAAGACCCTAGAATAATGTCCATAGGCATGGGTCCCTGGTAATCTGTACTGCTCCTTGCAACCATTGAAGTAGCCCACTTCTGCTGAGAGCGATCCCATTGCAACACTTGTTCCCTCAGAGTTGAGTATTGAACATTGTCGCCACTTGTCAAATTCAAGTATGATTTGAGCCGTCCACCTACACATCTCCAAAGAATAGCAGATTTCAACTCTTCTTGAATTGTAGTCCTTGCCTTAAGACGACCAAATACTTCTTCAAGCTTCAGAAGTTGAGGTTGCAGCGCACTGTTCATTGAAAATGCTGGCCATGTAGTGGCTGCTCCCAAAAGTGCTAGTCCTCTAGCCTTTGAAGTAGGTTTCAAGGCTTTGATCAAATTCCTCCAGGCATCAAACTCATTGGAGTCCTCCACAGCTTTCACCAAGTGTAGTGCTCTTCCCCTGATCAATGAAGCTAACAATCCATAGAGCTTGATGCACCTGGTCTTCTCCTCTCCAGTTGCCAAGTCTATGTCAAATTTCTCACTTGGCTTCTCCTGAGTCTCTTTCAGATCCTTCATGTAAGCCTCATCTACTGAGCATAGATACTTCTCAAATACCCAATGACCACTCTCTGAACGCTTTGATCTCTTCGTCTTGTGACTTGTAGTCAAAGAGATTGGGCTTTGTGATCAACTTTGACCAATCAGTTGTTGATGACTTCTTGTCTTCAACTGCTTTCTTCATTGCCTCAGCTGCTGAAGCTGTTCCTTGCGTACTCTGTGCAAAAACTGTAAGGATTTCTCTGATCTCCTTCATCTCCCCTGCACACTAATGTCTTTCTGACACAATGTACGGGGTACAGAGTCCAGCCAACAACAATTTGTCACCAGTCCAGCCGTTTGGGTCGCAAAGGCCCCAAATCTATGGCTCGAAAACGCTCCCGGGATCCCAGTGACCTAGGGGCTTTTCTTTCTGGAGCTCAAAGGGCTGCGCAGTGGTCATCTATACAAGCTATGCTATATACACTGGCTATGGTCTGCATTGAAACTTGTTCACAGTTACGACAGTTATGGGTGAGTTGCAGCAACAAGGGTTCCACCTTCTATATACCATCTTCCACCCATCGCTCATTCGGTCAACTTCCATGACCTCTCCAGCTCGTGGCTCCTCTGTGGCACCGTCCGTCGGAGCCCTCAGATGAAGCCGAGATTCGTCGCGGAAGTTGGAGCGACAGTTCGTGGGTTTGAAACGGGTGGACCTTGAGACCCTTGAAAAGAAAAGGCTCCATCGCTCTTAGGGTGGAGGCCATCGCTCTTAGGGAGGCCATCGCTACTTGGTGTTTTCCTATCGGATTCCACAAGCTTAGATCTTCTGGCGCGAAGGCTAACAATTCTGGGCTAGAAAGCGGAATGCAGCACAGACCTTGCCAGGGCTGCCAGAACCCACAAAATAATGGGAATCCATCAGTACACAATGAAGGAAAACAAGAATCTCTTGCCTGATCAGCAACGAAGGTAAACCTACGAATTGGGTATCACATCATGGCCCAGGTAGCAATCGTGTAATTGCGAAAGCATCCATTGATGGAAACAGCTAGTATAACTGACTCTCACCTACCCATCCAAACCCAACCATCCCAAGGCCTGTTCAACACAAAGAAAGCAACAAAAAACCCACCTTCTCTCGGCGTTCACCCCCATTGTTCACCTTGTTCCACCTCTTCCTCCGTCTCAGCCCTTCATCGGCCCAGACACCGCCCACCCAGCAGCTTCGTCAGCAGCATCTGCGAGGTCTCCGAGGCAAAGAGCACGTTGCGCCGCTGCTGCTTCGCCTCGCCCCGGGCGGACCGGGCGGACCGGTAGGGGGAGTCTGTAGACTCCGGTTTACAAAGCTTGCAAGAAAGGGGTGCGTCGAATTGAGTGGGTGTCTGAAATGGCGGGTTCAAAGCCGTCGGGGTTTGTGAATGTTCCCTTCACTAGGGACTTTGGGGTAGCTGTTGAGCCTCTCACCCCATTTTCAGAAAAAGGGCTCACCGTGACTTGCGGAACACTGGTTGTCCACAAGACAGAAAGCGGTTCTGGGATGGGATGTGAGCCATCCACTTTGCCTTCCTCTTGCCACAGAAATCAAAAATTGGATAAAATTGGAGCTATTTTGCAGTCCTGTTTCATCACATCTCCCGCCTGAAGACGCTCCAGCCTGTAGAGCCTGGCACTCTCCTGGGCTTCCGTCGATCAAAAAAAAGACCGCGGGCGTCATCGGCTTGAAATCGAAATCCTCTTCATCTCGAGGTTGGCCTGGCCCCTTTGATCAGTAACTAAGAAGCTACGAACGGGGCTCCTGGCCTTACTACTAGGAGCAAGGACGCTACTAGGAGCCTTCTTACTAGTAACAAGAAGCTATGGCAACATTCTATCTCGAACCCAACCAGGGCTGAACCTCTGGCTCGCAGGGGCAATATGATGTTAGTCTGTCATTGATCCTTTTTGCAGCGGTTTAGACAGGCGGCCTCAGCCATCACATAGGCTGCCTGTGGCAAGGCCTCCAACAGCTCCATTGCCTGCCACAACAAATTCGATTGGCACCGACTCTGAAGGTGGAGGAACTTTTGCATCGCGCGGTCTCTTTGGTCCTTCTGTCTGCTTTCAAATTCCACAAGTACCTGGTCCTTTTCCCCTACAGTAAATCTCTCTTCATCACCAAAATCGTTGCTGCCCAAACCCCCGCACACCTTGCTGTGGCTTACGTCCAAGCTAAGCAGCGACAACTTGCTCCCCTTCTTCTCTGCCTGCACGCAAACCGAAGAACCAGGTCATCACGACTTGACTGTTCAGGGGACCCCAGCTTCCCCAAGAGCTGTTGGGTTGACACCCAACAGCTAAGGGCATGTAGAATCGACGAGGTCCTACCCAATCGCGGAGTCCATCTACTTTCGTTGAACATTGCAAGCTCGGGCAGTCCGGGCCAGTCTGCAAGAGGGCTTTTGGTCTGTAGCTATTGGATTGAGAGTCGTGATGTCCCAATGTTGTAACTTCTCCAAGTCTTTCAAGAATCTTCGTGTCACACATCTTGACAATATCCAAAAAAGAACAAACACAAACCCTTCGCACCTGAGTGAGCCAGGTCGTTGCCATCTTCACACACATGGGCTGATCCTTTAGGTCGAAGCCTCACCGGTGCTCGCCCCGCGGTGGCTTCGACCGGTTTGACGGTGGAAGCGATGGAAGCTTCGCCCCTCGCGCCCCTTGCGACGATTCTACCATCCGACGGTGATCTCCGGGCCACTGGGATACCTGGTATCACAGGCGGCCACCCTTGAACACATACTAGGAACAAGGACGCTACTAGGAGCAAAGGGCATCGTTACTAGGAGCGATCAGACGCTACGAACGGGGCCAGGAGCCTTACTACTAGGAAGCCAGTAGCTACTAGTAACAAGGGCATCGCTACAAGGAGCAAAGACGCTACTAGGGGTTCCTGGCCTCACTACTAGGAGCAAGTAGCTACTAGTAACAAGAAGCCTAGCAAGTAGCTACCCGCCTTGGGAGACCCACCAGGAGGCATTGGCCATCAGGTCCACGCTGCTTGTCATGGCCTGTCGCGAGAAAAACACCGCGAAAAACAGGGCATGAAAACGGGTCTCACGGTGTGATCTGTTGTGGAATTCTTGTGATTGAACCGCCAAACAGCGCTGCCCAGTACTGACCATCTCACAGATCATTTCATCTTCTGAATGTCAGCTCCTCATCACGCCAGCCTATAGTCACTATCTGTACTTGCGTAAAACGAGAGACCCCGAAAAAAGAGAGAAAGGCAACGGATCAGAAACCGCCGCTGTGTATGACTGGAGGCCCCATTTTTGACCATCACAAGCGGCCCACTCATATGTTTCTAAATTCCATGAAGTGACTTTGTTCCCACAAAGCAGCGAAGCCGCTTTTGGCACGGGTATCGGGTACAAAGTGTTTGCCGGCACCAGTTAAGCCACAAAACCTCGCCTGCTATCCCCTTTCGACCCTTCGCTGCAATGTGCCCTAGTAGCGTCCTTGCTCCTAGTAGTAAGGCCAGGAGCCCCTAGTAGCGTCTTTGCCCTACCCATTCAAATTTGGGTGCCAAGGAGGTATAGCCCTTTAAACTTTGAGATACCTCCCCTTGGGTGAGTCAAACAACTGGGATGCCAATATCCATCTTTTACACAGAGAAGGCCGTAGATTCGAGCCGCACAAGTAGCCGTAGCCCAGGAGGACCCAGAGAAAGAAACAGATGCAATCCAAGACACTAGTAGCAAGGACGCTACTAGGTGGAGGCCATTCCTACTACGAGTAGTAGCAAGAAGCTAGTAATAGTATTGCTTGGAACTAGTTCCCCACAAACCTGTGCTGCTCTCATCTCAGAACCCGTCTTTGATTGCCTCAGGATGGAGCTTGTAAACTTCCTGAGGCGCGCGAATTCTCGACATGAAGTAGGATGACGCCCATTGAATCCCCGTGTTCTCATCAAAATACCTGCCCAACAAGCAACCACATGGATCTTCCCGGAAACATCAGGAAAGAACATCACAGCTCTTTTCAACATGAAAATGACATTGTCACCCATGTCACTCATGTCACCCATGCAGGAAGAAATGAGAAATGACTCCATCACAGCGCTACAACTTAGCGTCCTTGTTCCTAGTAGCGATGCCCTTTGCTCCTACTAATTAGCGTCCGATCGCTCCTAGTAGTAAGGCCAGGAGCCCTGATCGTAGCGTCCTTGTTTACCTGGACCTGAAGTTCATTCGACACCCAAGGCTCTTCGGTCAATAAGGCCCCCGTGTCAGCTGCGGTGTACACTGCCGCGTTGGGGTCGTTCGACGTGAGGCACATCCTGAGATAGGAATGCAGGGCCCTGTATGAAACCTCCGTTCACCTCGTGCCGGACTGGGTTTGATGGGTAGAAGATGGCATGGGTCGAAAATGGATAGAAGATGTTAACGTCCAGACGGTGAAGATGAGAGAACTCCGGGGAGCAGTCTGTGCAGTTGACCGGAAGTAATTGCAGGAATTACCGTCAAAATTGACCGCTGCTGGTGGGCCGCTGCTCGTGGGCAATAAACTGAGGTCTCCCTCCAGATCGGTCCATCGACGTCCAGACCGGATTGATCTCCATCTGTGACAAATGTGGAGAGGCCCATGTGCAAAGATCGTTCTTGCAGGAAAACACCTTGGCTTCCCACACAACAGAGCGGATTGAAACGGAAACTGATCGAGGATCTTTCGTCCTTTTCTGTGGCCGCCGAGTTTCTCTACGAAGACGGCTGCTGAGAAATCCAGCGGAACGCTGTTGTTGCCAAGCCTATCACTCAAAAGAATGAATTCAACAAGTGGCGATGGTGCAAGAAGGAATAAGTGCATCTTGTCAGCCTGTAATTCTGTGAGATGTTTTGCTCTATTGCGGCCATAGCTAAGTGTGTTTGTCCATCAACAGCCCAATTCCAGCCTGTCAGCAATCCAACCGACCTTCGTCATGTTCTTAGCACAGACCTCCAGAGAACCATGGGCGTCCATGCAACGAACTGTTTCGACTCCACTTGAGGATCCACCAGAAAGCCTTTCAGTCGGGATGGTGATGGATGGACCCTTTGGTGGCAGAAAATAGCTCGCAAAGTTGCAAGCCCGTTTGTCTCGAATCCATCACTTTAAAGAACATAGCTACCTCAGCTACCTCGACAAGAGCAGTTATATATGCCATGGTCGACATGTCCAAGCCAAACCCGCTCAGAGAGAAAGATTGATTCGCGAAAGAATGACACATGATCCTGCCGCCAAGGATGGAGATTCATGTGTTGAGGAAGGCACCTAATGTGTCGCATGGGGGTTTTGTGGAGATAAAAGCTGACTCAAAGCTGTCGGAAAGTAGCTAAGGGCATCGCTTCTAGTAGCAAGGACCGTATTAGTAGCAAGGTGCCTTACTACTAGTAACAAGAAGCTACTGTAACAAAGGGCATCGCTACTAGTAGCAAGAGCTTCAGTATTGCGACTGCGGTTCTTGGAGTTTGCATCCGAAAAGTACTCCGACACAGTGCCCTGGACTCGAAAATTGCCACAGGTGGCGGTTGTCCCACACACCTTCGAACCCTTCCCCTAGAAGTCCAAAGACTATATTTTGACGGACTGAAGTAAGGGAAATGCCTTTTCGGGTCACCCAAAGACCATTCTTTTTATAGTCTCTGACTCCCAGGGCTTCCCTTTCTGCCAGTGTCATGACCTGGCCAAGCCACGAGTTTCACATAGTTCGCCACACTGAGGGCCACGTCATCACGCATTTTGGCCTGCGCGACCTCCAACACGTCATGGGTGTTCGTTTTCGTGCGCCAGCAAAAATGTGGGTTGATGTGAGGGTGACTCCAGAATCGATCAAAAGAATTCCAAAGAAACAGGAACTGCCAGCGTGTGTCCTCTTAGTGGGCATTACTTTAAACCATCAGCAACTGCCAGCATTCCGAGCCAATTCCGCTGTGTGTGCCGAAGCCCTGTGAGCGGCCCCGACGAAGCCCTGGGCGTCCGACTGTGCCGGAGATCTCCGCCAAACGCTTGGAGTACTTCCTGGTCACCGGGACGTAAGAGAATGGAACACCTGAGGATTTGGATGTTAAATCAACAGAAGGCAATCTGAACGTAAAGAAGAATCAAGAGTGATGTTCACTGTTCGAATCTGTTCGAACCTGGCTGAACCACTTGAGAGTCGCCCACGAAACGACTCACCAGCAACACTCGCACCCTCACCTGAGAATCACGGACAAAGCCCCAGGGATGCTGGGATCGCTCACGAGGTTCAAGAACTCCTTGCGGGAGGCCGGAGCTGCTGGCGCTGTACGGAAGCGCGTGCGCGCGCTTTGCGTGGGGGCCGGAGCCAGCGCTGAAAGAGACTGTGGCGAGATCTCAGGGTGGCCCATCTTACAAGATCTTGCGGGTGGCACCTGGTGGAGGAGAATTCAGAATTGCTAAGCACCACAGGCGCAGGTTTTGAGCAGCATCAAACGATTCCGTCAAACTTGGAAGCCAAGAACGATGGTCAACCTTTGGTGACGCGGCATGCCATCTACGAGTTTCGCAGTGGGAACAGGTGGAACGACATTGTGCCACGCCTGCCACCCTCTCCACCCGGTCCTTTACTCCGATCTCTCCATCTCCGCTGGTGTCGTATTTCTTGATCAATGACTTCGGCTTGTCACCTGTGGCGCTCTGCTCGGGTCACATCGGCCTCAAGGCACCTGGAGGAGTTTGCCCGTTGCTGTTGAGCATCCAGTAAAGGTGACAACAACTACTAGTTACTAGACATGCGCTGTCGCCCCCCTAGGCCCTAGACATGCGCCATCCAAAACACACACAAAAAGTGTGAGATGAGAGGCACTCTTTCGGCCACCTACGAATGTCCTTTCCTTTGCGGACTGCCACTGGTACCCCACCACACCCTCACACCAGAGGGCCTGCCTTGCAGCGCCGAAATGGAGAACCAGTTCCCCACATTGGTCAGCTCCTGGACTTTCACACCGTGAAAAATGACCGAATGCTTCAGCTGATCAACCAATTATGCCTGCAAGAGACGCCAAACAGTGTATCTAGAGGTCTAAGAGTCTAAGGTCTAGAGATGTACAGAACTTACCAGGAAGTAGATCTCGGCAAGGACGCTGTTTACGAGGTAGTTGCCGACCATATTCCCCGGGAATAGACCAGCAGCACCAATCAGCAAACGAGAAATAGTGAGAAAAATTGAACTTTTGACGAGGAAGCTGTCCTTCTCTTTACACACTCCGAGGCTCCATTAGGAGGCATAGTCGGAATCGTGATCTAAATTGGGGAAATGCAGTGTGCATGTCTAGAGGTCTAGAGATCTGCCTAGAGATCTAGAGGTCGAGATCTAGAGTCTAAAGGTCTTGGAGCTCTGGGCCTAGAGGCGTAGCACCTAAACATCTCAGGGTCTAGAGGTCGTAGTAGTAGGAGTAGCAGTGGCAGTAGCAGTAGCAATAGCAGCACAATCATCAAAAAAAGTCTATTGTTGGCTTTTAAATGGTCCTTGCTTTAGGACCGACTTACCGGCTTTGCTGCGACCACAAGTTTGGCACCCAAGTCGGGTCGTTTCCACCGTTTCGAAACAGTCATCGCTCCGAGACAGAGATCGCCCCAGAGTCGTCGTCATCAAAGATGGGCCAGGTCTGGTTGATCATGTCCTCCTCGGCGACACCGATGTGGAACCGTGGACAGGCTGCACGGTTCAGGCGACAACTGGCTGTGCTGTGCTGCGAATGAGTCAAGGATGAGGTCCTCAAAAGTTGGAAAATTGGGGCCTGAGCTGAATCAGTGCCAGAAAAACATCTTGCGGTTCCCCCCTCTTTGCATGGTCTTCTGACGTTGACATGCCATGTCTATCGCTTTGGCGGGCCAGCTGCGCCCAAAAAATGGTTGCCTTGGACTCCAAGTCCAGTGGACTTGGAGACTTTAGATTCTTGGGTCAGGGACTTCCACCTTGCAACCTCCATGGGCTAAGCCAGGCTAAGCCAAATGATTCCAAGCCCATGTGCAGAAGCTGGTCAACTTCCTGCTCACCTGAGGTCCTGTCAAGAGTTACAGCCAAGTCTCAGTGTTATTGGCTCCTCCGTGCAGTTGCGCCATGACCTCCCACGAGCGGATCTGATCTGTTCTGCTCTGCACAAGAAGCAGCTGGAGAAATCTGGGAGATCCTGAAGTTGGAGAGGGCGGCGCTTCTGCCATCCAAAGGAATGTTCGGAAGTGTAGCTTATACAATTGATTACAGTTTACTGATCACCATAGTACCTAGTGCCATCGTTTATTGAACGTTTATCGTTTCTGATGCTAATGATATGTGGTTTGCTGTTCGAAGCGGAAGCGAGTGCGGTCTGGGTGATGGGTCTATTTCAATCAGTGTTGAGGAAACACACAGCCCAACAAACGTTATTTGCAAGTGCCAAACGATACCGCCTAGCTTCAGTTGCAGGATCCCAATCCCGGCACAAAACTCGGGAAAGTACGACAAATGGAATGTATTTGGCCTCTGGTTACGCAGGAGCACTGCCAAATATTCAAAAAATCATGTGCCAAATTTACAAGAAAAACGACAACAGCGACCACACATTTGACACATCGTACACACCCAAAGTGCCCTTCTCCCAGTTGAACGACTGGGACCTGGAAAGAACTCATGTGTTCACGCCTGATCGAAGATCTTCTGCGCCTTGTCCAAAGTCACACTGAAATCCTGGAGACCTTGACAGGGACACCAGAATGCCTTGCCCACAATTGATTTGATTTACGAGGGCAAACATCTTGGGTCTTCAAGATGATGTCTTTCCGAGAGTTTGAGAATTGGATTTAGAATACTCTACACCTTTCGATACCAGCAACTACAAGCAAGGGACCCCAGGGGCCTCATTGTAGACCCCAAAACTGGGGATCTTATATGGTTTTCCTAGGGAGTCTACGTAGGCAACAGAAAAGGTTCTAGACCCCCCCCCTGGGACCCGCGTAGTGGGGTCTTAAATGGTGTCCTTCACCACATGTAAACTGCTCAAACCAACTTCAAACCGCCCTTATGGATCCTTGTGGGTTCTGGTCACCAAACTCCGGCTCAAGTCAGGAGTCATCGCTAGTCGGTCTAGCTGCAGTGACCTGCCTGACCTATCCTGACCTCACAAAAAAGTTTTGCGCTCGGTTGGGATGAGCTCTCCAACTCTATTTGGCCCACTGGTGCATACATGTCAAGTGGACACTTCATCCTAACACACCTTCACAAAAACAACCAGCAGCTTTCCAAAGGAGAGGCAACACCAGTGAACCAAATGAAAAAGATTTCAATTTTTTGCTGTTTGACAGCGGGTTCAGGCACTAGGGTCTAAAGTATTGTTCCTGGTGACCTGTGCAATCTTTAATA